TCGTCCGCCGCGTCAAGACCGGCCGCTGCGCCTACCACTTTGTTGAGCTCATGGCGTGCCCCGCCGGCTGCGCAAACGGCGGCGGCCAGCCTCGCCCGCCGCCACTCGAGGCGAGCGGTCGAGCCGCGACGGTGGAGGCGGCGCTGGTCGCGCCGGGCGAGGCGGCGTGGCGCCACCCGTGCGACAACCCGGCCGTCGGGAGCCTCTTTCGCGAGGGCGCCTTCTTGGACGGCGGTCCACTCGGGGACGCGGTGGCGAGCCAGCTGACCACCGAGTTCAACGCGCTGGCCGACAAGACGCCGACAGAGCAGAGCGCTTTGGGGATACAGTGGTAGTGTGCGCGTTTTGTTGTATTTTGATTTTCTTGAAGCCCGAGGCCCCGAGCGTGTCCGTGAGCTTGTGGGTTGTGGCCCGCGTGCACACGGGGGCCGCAAGCTAGACACACACCCCTCGCTAGAGCGTAGTCCGTAGAGGTCCTGGGGCTGTGCCGTGTGCGCGAGAGTGCGGTGAGACCGGTCTCCCCGGGCGGCCGCCGAGTCTTGCGTCCGCGCGAGCTCCAAGGTCCAGGAGCAGAGAGTGTGTCTCCACAGAGCGAGGTCCGCTCTTCCACGCTTCCGGGCTTCCGGTTCCGCAGTGCCAGTGGTAGTGGTAGTGGTGCATAGACACACAACACACATACGCGCACAATAATGATACAGCTTACCGGGTTGGGAACGTATCTAAAAGTCTTTGTTCAACGCGAGAGTGGTTCGACCACGCCGCTGAGCCGCGTGTCCCTCGCGGATGGGCCAACGAGTACCGTGCGGTTTTCGCCCGCGGCGAGGGCGGCGTTGTACTCAACGGCGAGCCGACCCTATACCGGCAATGCCATGCTGTGAGAATGAAAAATTAATGTCAGTCGTTCTTCCTTTGGTAGCTTTGCCCGGGCGATTTGAAAGGCGAGGTCCGTGCTGGCGCCCGGCGCGAGGGTGACGCGGGTCCAGGCACGGAGGCTCCGCATCCCAGGCGCGGCAGTCTCGTTGGGTGGCACCACGCGGACCTGCACCGTCTCGCTCGCCTCCTGCTCCCCAGCGTTGGTGAGCGAGAAGTTTGCCCACGACGAGGAGAGTTGCAGGCCGGAGTAGGCAAATGGCACCGCCTCCGGTGGCGGATCGCCGTTGTTGCAGTTCAGAAAGGAGCGGGTCGGATCGCAACGGCACGGCCGCTCGGGGCCTCGCAGCCCAACGCGAAGCGGAGACGCCTCCGCTGGTGGACAGGTCCCCTCAAAGGCGATGGCAGCTGTGTGCGGGTGATCTCGCCAGCCTCTGCAGTCGACGATCTCGATTGCAGAGCCGTATCGCGAGAGGCCGTCAGCGACGCCGTTATTGTCCGGCAGCAGCATGAATGTGTCGTAACCCTCGGCGACCGCCCTCTCGCACCCTGGCGACTCGGGCTGCCTGACCCGGTCCGTCTTGGTCCGGAGCGACCTCCCCACGTTGATCCAGATGCCGGAGCCGGGTGCAAGGTAATACCAGACCTTGGGAAACGGCGACAAGTGAGACTGAGTCAGGGAGACAAGGAGTGTGTCAGCGTGGTTCGCTCTCGAGCTCTCCCCGCTCAGCAGCGCGCCTGACCCCGTGTGGCCGTGTCCTCGATCCGCTCGTTTGGCGGGTTGGTGCGGTTGAAGTGCGTCACCTCGGCCCAGACGCCGTCGGCGGGCGGCTCGCAGTGGCCATTGCCCGCCACAAAGAAGCCAGGCCACTGTGGGAAAAAGAGCCAGTCGCCCGGGAGCCACATTGCGCCTTGAGAGAGTCAAAGGTGAGGTGAAGGCCAACGCTCGCTAGAGTGGGGCAGGGGCAGTCCCCACGCGCTTAATCTGCACCTTCGCGTATCAGGCACCGCTTCTGCCAGTGACACGCGGCGTCGACCCTTGCCGGTAGCTGGCTCTCGCGATCGTGCCACACGAAACGGCCACAGCGACCGGACGGCGGCTGGCTGGGCGGAGGCCGCAACGACGGCGGGGCGAGCGGCAGCTGCAGGCAGTACTGCGACGGGTCAGCCGGGCAGCCCCTACTCCCGTCGCCCAAGGCGCCCGGGTATCCCGCTGGACGCAGCATCTGCATCGTTCCGTCTTCGGCGGGAGATAGAGGAGGACGCAGCAACACGTGGCCAGGAGAGGGAGGCGCATTCGGCAACACGTGGCCAGGAGAGGGAGGCGCATTCGGAGAAGGCCATTGTGGTGGCGGAGCAGTCGGTGGCAGCGGGGCAGCGGTTTCCCCCGACGAGTGAAGCTGCACAAGCATTGTCAGCACGATCGCCAACGCACAAAGCGAGGCGCACCACATCCCGGCGGCGATAGCATCGCCACGGTGCGACGAACCTGGCTTGGCAGCAGCCACGCCCGCTGGCAAGGGTGCCACCTCCCTGCTACGCTCCGGTCCACGCAGCTCCCCTCTGCACTCAACCTGTGACTCCATGAGCTGCATAGCGCCGCGCTGCCGCGCCGGGAGAGAGAGAAAGCGTCGCCACCCCCGATCGGGCGAGGTTGGTCCTCCTCCGCGTGACGCTGCAGCAGCTGCTGCAGCCTCCGCCTTGGCTTGCTGCTCACGCAATGCAGATCCGATGCGGCTGACCGAGGCGAGAGAGGGCTCCGACCCCGCCGCTGCTGCCCACGCGTGTGCGGTCGATGGCACCGCGAGCGCGTCGGACACGTGCTCGCGGTCGGCCGAAACGCTGTTTGTAGGCGCGCCGACCAGCATAGAGCGCTATGCTTGGGCCGACCGAAACGTGGCGACGACGACGGGCGCCCGGCCAAGAAAGGAAGAGGCATCAGAATTTTACAACAAAACTCCCTCGCACAACACTGGGCACAGGACTGGGCACGGGACTGGCTCGCACTGGCACTAACACAGGTACACCACGGGAGCCGAGGCATCAGAAACGACTGCGGAGGCAGTCTGGTAACGCCCGGAAGGCGAGCAAGGGACTGGGACGAGCCGAGGGCTCGCCCCGACAGGCGAAGGAAGGGACTCTGGGACCGGAGTCGGGCGGGCGCACATGAGGCGTACGTATCCGTGTATGTATGTACGTACGTGGAGTACAGTGTTGTGTGTCCGGTAGCTCCGAGTAGAGGGGGCGTTCTGCAGTTAAGGGGAAACCCGGTACGCGGAACTAACCCTCGGAGACCCGTGTTTACTTTACGGCCCTTTCCCTGCGAACGCGCACCCCGGGGCTAGGCCTAGGGCTCTCTAGCCCGTAACCCGACACCGATCATCCGGCCCGCTGGGTGCGCTTCTTAGCTCCCCGGCCCTGGATGTGAGGTTGATGACTGCACTCCAAGTGCTCCAAGTGCCATCGAAATCTGCACCTTGGATGGCAAGGCACGGGCAGAGGAACGAGAGAAGAATATAGGGTGAATAAAGCGCCTGTTCACGGCATGGAGGGTGAGCCACGCGGTGAACGTGCTGAACGTAGAGCCGAACGGGAGGAAGCCGGGGAAGACGACTCTGAGGAGGACGAGCCAGTGGAAATCCCGCCGTCAGCTGTCACGATGCACCCGAAGGGGACCCCAGCGCCAGCATCAGCCGTGGAGGTACAAGTGTTCGAAGAGAGAGTGGACCTGAGCAACGATATGTATGACTTGGCGGCAAATGGTCGCAGTGGGCGTCAGAAGAGTCGTCCTTGCGCGAGGAGAGCTCGATAAACTCGAGGGGCCAAAATATGCCGCGAGGAGGGCAGAGCTGCGCCGAGAGGCGAGGGCAAGGGATCGGCAGGCAGCGGCGTCGTCGCAGGACGAGGCAGAGGAGAGCGAAGCGACAGAGGAAGAAGCGACAAGAGAGAGAACGACGAGAGTGGGAAGACCGCGAGGTGGCATGAAGGTTGCAGCGAGAATCGGCGAGAGACTGCGAAGAGAGATAGGAAGAGGCAGACGCTGGAGAGCTCTACCCGCGCACCTGCCCAGCGAGGAGCTCGACGCCGCTCCTGGCAGGCGAGGCAGGGATCTCGGCGACGTTGGAGAGCGGGCGCACGATCGATGAGCTGAGACGCAGCGCGCCGCGTACATGCCGCCGCTGCCGCCGCTGCCGATGGCGCCGGCCGCCGCTGCTCGGCGACACGCTTCGCGACCCCTGTCAGCGGCGCGGGCATGCGCGTTTGTGTGTGACGGAGGCGGTGCGGAGTTTCTCTCTCCTCCTCCTCCCCCTCCCGGCTCGCATGCCCATGGGTCGTGCATGACGCGTATCTGAGCAACTGAGCCTCAAGCTCAACCCCACACGCACACCCCCTTGCCCCCTGCAGCTGCAGGGCCTGCACCACCCACCCCCACCACCACTGACTGGTTCGAGTGTGTAAGTGTCGTGCGCGTAGGCATTTTTATAAGGAGGTCACATTAACTACCAATTACGGAGCTGATACAATATACATCGATCATCGTCGCACACGACACTCGACAGCATGCCCATGCGTGCATTTCGGTTGCCGCAGCATCCTGCATCGCGCGTCATGTAGGACTCTATAACGGTAGACACTGGGCACAAGGGCCTTCGTACTGAACACTCGGAGCTCTACTAGACAGAGTGAGGAGGAGGGGAGGGGGCGCTAGAGGGAGAGGGCAGTGCGCCGGACGAGGGCGAAGCCGAGCGGCAGTGGGTCCAGGGCGCTATCGGGCGCACCCCGCTGCTACTAGAAACGACTGTGTGTCGTGGCAGCGCGGTCGGCCAGCAGTGCCGCCGCGGCAGCAATGTCGTTCCCCGAGCGGTAGAGCGCCTCGCTCGCGTCAGCGAGCGCAAACCCCATCTCGACGAGGGCCGACTCGGCCGCCGGGTTGGTTGGTGGTTCCTGCGACTGCGCGTATTGCGACAGCCACTGCCCCTGCGGCGGCCGCGGCCGCGGCTGCTGCCGCTTAGCGGTGGGGGGGGGCAGTGGTGGCTGCTCAACGAGCCGCTGCTGATGCGGAGGCGACGAGGCGACGAAGCGAAGGAGCATGGATGTGGGAGTTCGCTTTACGCGTTTTGCTGGCGGGAAAAAACAAGCAGTCGAAGAGGCGCTCTCGGGGGGCCGTTCTGAGTTCATGCTACCACGAAGCACACTGTGCTGCGTCAAAGCACCGGCCCCGAGTCCGCCACGCGGAACGCATCTCCATCGCTTCGGTGAAGGGGGTGAACCGTGCCATCCTCGATCGCCGTGCAAAGCTCGCTTCCGAGCTCTCACGCCGCGCGTAGGGCCCTTAGGGGCCTAGAGAACACAACCCTCTCTCTTTTCTCCCAGTAAGCTATAAGTACATACACCTCACGGTGCAGATGCTGGGGTCATGTGGAGAACTAGTGCGCCTCACAGCGTTCCCGCTTGTGCACTGGTCGGCCCACCGCACCATCCCTGCCGCCAATGCCGACCGTCAACGCCTCCCTCGCCGACGTCGGCGTGACGCCGTCGATGCTTGCCGATTGCGCCGACCTTGACGAGGAGTGGGCGGCTATCAAGCGAGCGTACTTCAAGAAGGTGCTCAAGACACACCCCGACAAAGGCGGCGACCCGGCAGTCTTCCGCAAGACGCAGTCGGCCTTCGAGTCGCTCCGCTCGCTGTACGACGGCGCTTCGCCCGGCTTCTACTTTGCCTCCTGCGGCGATCAGACCGCCGGCGCCGCGGCAGCCTCGGTCGGAGGTCCGGCGATGGACACGCCCTCGTGGGAGTTCTACGCAGAGGCGGCGGCCGAGGCGGTGCCGCTCTACCGCGTCGAGCGCGCGAAGAGCGGTCGGTCGTTGTGCAAGGCGCAGGGGTCGGCGCGCCATTGCGGCGCCGAGGAGTGCATCGCCAAGGCGCGCCGAGAGACTCTTCCGCCGAGAGCACCGTTGCGGAGGAGCAGCCCGCCGCTCCACCCGCGCTCTGACTCCGCCCTCCCGCCCTCCCTCGCCAAGGACGAGCTGCGGGTCGGCTGGCTCGACTCGGAGAGCGGCTCGTACGGCGGCTGGGTCCACCTCAAGTGCTGGCGCGTCCCCAACCGTGTCTGGCTCGGCCTCCCGGACCCGGCGCGCATCTCCGACGTCGCCGCGTTCACGCGCGCGCTCCTCTCGATGGGGGGCGTGCTCCTCTCCGGCCTCGCCGCCCTTAAGCCCGACGAGATGCGCCAGCTCGCTCGCTTCTGCTCCAACTCCGCCAACTGGGCTCGCCGCGTCCAACTCAAGCCCCTCTCGCACACCCTCACATCGAGGCCTGCCTGCACATCACCTCCCTCCGCCGGGACCGCCGGCCGGTCCGCCGGCGGCGCCGGTGCCGCCGCCTCCGCCTCGGGCGCGGTCGTCCCCTCCTCCTCCTCCTCCTCCCTCTCCGCCTCGCGCAAGTTTGTCATCCCGCGGCCCGGGCGCGACGGGCCTGCAAACTCGCTCGCCGGCAAGACGGTCGTGCTTTCGGGTAAACTTCCTCTGGCCTCTGGCAGCCCGCGCACTGCGGAGCGGCGCCAGCCCACACACCCCGCCCTTGCGACTAGGCATCTTCCCCGAGGTCGGCGGCGGCACGGGCCTCAGCCTGGGCAAGGACAAGGTGACGGCGATGATTCAGGCCTTCGGAGGACGCGTCACGAGCGCAATCTCGGGCAAGACCGACGTGCTCCTCGTGGGCAAGGAGCCGGGGTACGCCAAGGTGTCTCAGGCGCAGGGGCGAGGCGCGCTCGAGAGGAGTGCTCGAGGGGAGCTTCGTCGACACTCCGCAAACAAAACGGGACCCCCGTAATTGAGGATCATTCTTAGGGGGGCCGGCGAAGCACTTGTTTGGCCGGCCGAATGACCGTCAGGGCTGGGTAAGAAGCGGCCGCGAACGAGGCCCCAATCTTGCCGTAGCCGGTATAGTAGAAGAAGGTACAAGGGAAGAGGGGGTTGGCTTGCCCTCCTCCGCC